TGGTTCTGGTGCTTTTCAGACGTGACAATTTGCTGTTTATCTTTGTCATGTATGAGAATAAATTGAGTATCCTTAGGTTTTGGACAAAACAAGCCCATTGAAGGTATCGCTGCAGGATTTAAAGGTCCAGTGTGTAGGGTTTAAGGGCATCTATCGGCTGAAATGGTATATACTAATCATAACTATGTTTCCATCAGTTTAAAATCACATGAAAATAAGAGTTGTTGTGTATCGTTACCTTGGATAGAGCTATTTAAATCTACATATGGAGCGGGTCCTCCTCCACAGAGTCTGGCTCTATATAGAGCCATGCACATTTTTTGCATTAGCCAACATAGTTCTCTTATGCACTTGGCACACGGACGAAGTTTCAGTTCTGCAATCTCACCACTAGATGCCACTAATCTTGCACACTGGACCTTTAAGCAAATATGAATGGCATTTTTCACTATTTCTTCACATTTGATAGACTAAAAATAATTATCACATTAATCAAAAATAAAAATAATTGTTAGGTGCAGTACAAGTACCTCAAGACTGTACAAGAACTTGAGTAATTTAACATACTTTCTTTCCACCACTATGTACGATGAATATTGTTATATTATCCATCATTTTTAAATGTCATTTGGCTCCAGCCAAGGAGTAATTTATCACCTGTGTGCGTAGGTTTTATTTTTAAGTCACATTTTCTCTGGCAAAACACAACTCACAAGGCAAAAATGCCTGAGGATAAAATATGACTCTATGATATCGATGACCTTTGTAAACTTCAGGCACAAAGGAGCTGAAACATCCGGGAAGCGGCTCTTTCTCACTTCCTCATTTTCAAAAGAATGAACTCAAGTGAGGGAAACCATCTGCAGCATGACTTGCAGTTTGCTCACTTTACTGTAAAGTCTCAAGAGTGCAGAAGATAAGGAGATGGATATTAACAAGAGACATGATGGTCTCGTGAGGAAAATCCCATCTTCAGAAGGAGTATGCATGGTGTAAATGTTGGATGCTGCTGTGCATTAAATCCTGCTTGCCCACTGCATTAACTTATAATTAAACTTGGGTGTGTATGTACATGTATACTGTAAGTGTATGTGTGTGGTTGAATGCTCGAGCCAACGTCTGCCCAGGTTTTTGAGTCCAGGTCCCCCTATAATCATCCCATCCTCCAGCAATCTGCGTGTGCCAAGCGCTCAGCCAGCTTGGATCGAGATCTGCGGTCGCTGCAGTGGGAATTTCTTTGGCACGGAGTTTCCTGGCTGACATTGGGGAGGCAGGCAGGCCGCTGTGGCACGGGGATGGAAGAGCGTCTGGAGGCATTCCCAACCACTTTGGCTGGATGGACGGACAGACAGACAGATGACAGGACTGATGGCCTGATTAAAGCCTAGCTGTGTCTTTGACCTCCATGTGCACACAGTATCCTCAAACAGGGTTTGAGCATCTGGCTGCTAAGTTACACTGATAATCCCCACATGTAAGTTTGTTATCAGCTCCGAGCTGCAGCAAATACACTTCAACCTTTATTTCTTTTCCTCTTCTTCTCCTGCCATCTCTGCTTCTTCCCAAAACGACGAATACATCTATGGTACAATAAATGTTGGGTGGGGTAGTGCGTCAAATGGGGGTTAAATTTGGCTCAGGATAATCTACGGCTACATGCACCACCTCCTAATTAAGGCATTTGTGTGTGTGTGTGTGTGTGTGTGTGTGTGTGTGTGTGTGGTATAATTACAGATGTAAAGCCCAGTGCAGTTAACTGTAACATCAGCTGAGCACACGATATGATGGACAGAATGGGACTTTCTGCCAAAAAGACACACATCCACAGTATCTAGCACACTAGACCTTATACACTCATTGAAATGATAATACATCTGTGTTCCTGTCTTTCAATGGCAATTTAAACTAAATTTAAACAACTATCTGCTGCTACCAAAGGAGGAAATGTGCGCTAAGAGACACACGGATGTGTTCAAAGCATTTTACAGCAGGTTAAAAACATGTTAAAATCATGCTGGGGGAATACTTCATCTGTCACACACACAAAAAAATCTCTAAAGCGTGATGATAATAGTCAAAATATTATCCACGGGATTATATAAAGAGGCTTCAGACACATTATTGTCCTCCCAAATTTGTGTAATCTTGCAAACTGACGTGTGTAGTTGTTTTCAAGTAAGACCAATATCATTTTGTGACTTGATACCACAGTGCTGTTTTGATGTTGTATGAAGAAAATAGACTATGATCTTTGGAGAAAAAAAAAAACCTGACAGAAACCTTGTCCAACAGATGGCAGCCATAAACACAGCGGTAAAAGCAGCAGGGTTCTTTGCCAGTTCTCAAACTGCTTTGTATCATAACACTGTGGGCAGTATAAGTGAATGAACTGCGATAACTTCCCTCCATCAGCCAGGATCTCCTTGCTCATCTCTTAGCTCAAACACATCATCTGGCAGATTTTCGCTGGCTCTAGGTCTGTTGCTTAAACAGATTGTCCATCCATCCATTTTCAACCGCTTATCCAAACCCAGGACGTGCGGGCAGCAGACGTCCCTCTCCCCAACAATGCTTTCCAGCTCCTCCTGGGGGACCCCAAGGCGTTCCCAGGCCAGATGAGGTATGTAATCCCTCCAGCATGTTCTGGGTCTGCCCCGGGCCTCCTACCAGTGGGACGTGCCTGGAACACCTCTGACAGGAGGCGCTCAGGAGGCATCCTGATCAGATGCCCAAACTACCTCAACTGGCCCCTTTCAATCTGAAGGAGCGGCAGCTCTACTCCGAGCTCCCTCTTGATGTCTGAGTTCCTCATCCTATCTCTAAACCTGACCCCAGCCACTTCAAGGAGGAAACGTATTTAGGTTGTTTGTATACCGGCTGCATTCTTTCGGTCACTACCTAGAGCTCATGACCATAGGTGAAGGTTGGGACATAGATGGACCAGTAAATCGAACGATCCACCTTCCAGCTCAGCTCTCTTCACCACCATCCATCTCATGCTCCATTCTACCCTCACTCGTGAACAAGACCCTGAGACACTTGAACTCCTTCGGGGCAACCCTAACCCAGATTGTACTTCTGCATTTTCGTATTCCTGCAATCACGGACACAAAGAGCACAGAAGCAGAGCAAACTGTAAAACCAGGCAGTGCTGATCAAATATAAAGAGATTCTGTTACTGTCTTGCTTATTTCATGTCTTCAGAGGCATAGTTTAGGTTACTGTTTCGCTGTAATTCAAGATCATTTGATACCAGCTGGCTGCCATATTGTTTCCTGTGTCAAAACAGACAAGCTCACGTCACGTCACCCACCAGCGGGAGCGTTTATTGGTCCAGTGCAGTGTAGTTCATTCTGGTAGCTGTAGGTTTCATAACTCTTGAGCAAAAGCAAATGCCACAGCCCTTTTACTGTTTTCTCTGATCATGAAGCACCAGTTTCAAAAGTATTTGCATCTTTCTACTTTGTAGGCAGCCCAGTTCTGTGGAAAGATCATATTTCCAGCAGTGAAATGCTTCTTTAAGTGTGTGTGTGAACTTGGGAGGACTCTCTGCTCCCCTCCAATTCCACTTTTGTGATATCATGTTATAAAATGTGCTTTGGCCAAACCATGAGAAGCCCCTGATTTTCCTCTACCCTCACCAATCACACTGCTCAACTTAAGACACGCACGCAGTTCTCTGTTACTTCCCACAAAAAGGGTGAAAGTACCTAACAGGAAACAGGAAGTCTGTCTTCTTGTAAAACAGGCGGTATCAGTGATTTAAAATGTTTTGTGTGCCGTTGAATTCTCTGCTCGCACGTGCCGTGACAAGACGGTACTCATGAACAAACTCTGCAAATCCTGTCAAATCCTTCCTTAAAACGCCTGCATCGTAATAACACCAGAGACGAGCCAGTGAAGCTGTACGTGGCCCTCTTCTGGTGGAAGTGTGTGCGTATAGCTGTGTGTGAGAGAGAAAGCCTCTTATTGATACAAGCGTGCAGGAATTTGGTCTCAGACAATAGACGGCCTCGGCCAAAAATGACAGTCTCATCTTGGCTCTTGTGTAAGTGTGTGTGTGTGTGTGTGCATAGGGAGCTTGCCCTCATTGCACAGTGCGCTCATTACGCAGCGGAACATCCTGCCAAAACCACAGCAGTATGGTGTGATATGTGATGGGGATCAGACACACAGACACATGTTCAGATGAGCAAACAGTGTAATAATTCAACATTTTTAGAGTTTCATCTGTCTGTTAAACTCAGTGCAACATGCTTTGGCATTTACATTATGCTTAACACAAGTTAACTTGACTAAACTGGTCAACTGTACTTGTTGTGTCTCCATATCATAAAATATTACAAAGCTAAATACAGTATGAAAGCAAAGTAGAGCCAGGAGTTGGATGTTTCACTTCATTAAAAAGACAGGAGGAGGATCACACTACCAGTGAGGTCATCACATACCCATGACAGTGGGTCAAGCATGCTCCCACTCTGTTATTAGACAGCACGAAACTCAGTGGTCCTCATAGTAATTATAAGTCTGTAATATTAACTGAACTAAAGATATTCAGTGGCAGACTAACCCGAACAAAATCAGTAAAACAAAAGCTGGCAAATTGTCATCCAACATCACGGCAAAATCGTGTCTGCGCGTAAGGCGATATGAGATACATCAAACAGCCATAAAGGATGGCGCAGGCACACACAACTTATTCCATTTGGTCATTTAAAACATTTACTGTCTTGAGTATTAACTCCAATTAAAAAAAAAAGCAGGGACCTCTTTGTTCACAAGTAATTAGGTATAAACATTTGCCACATAATGTCCCAGACAAACTCATAAGAACATATGAATATGTCATATTACCGCCGTGCGTAAAAGTGGTGAGGACGGTCGGACAGGCTTTGCGGCGAGAAAAGCCCCACGCGAGCCGGCAATGACTGACACAACTAAACTACCGGCTTCAGCAGCCATTCAGACTCTTACTAACAAAAAAAAGTTGTCAGACTTACCGGTTTGGTGAAAATAAGGCGTTGAAATCAGTGTTCAGAGACGAGCATCATCAGATGTAGTGGACTCAATCAGGAGGTGTAATTAAAAGAAGGAATGGATGAAAACCGCAAAGCCGGTAAGCGAGGTTTCCCTTCTCTCTGGCTCCTCTCCTCTGTGTGTGTGTGTGTGTGGCGAAAAAAAGACATAAACACTGAGCTGGCTCAGTGAGCTCACAGTGCGTCACCGCTGCAAGCTGAAACTCCCGTCAGTGTGTGTGTGTGTGTGTGTGTGTGTGTGTGTGTAAACCCCCTCTGTCGGTCTTTGTCTTTTCCCAGCAGGGACAGGAGGCTCACAACCTGTCAGCTGAAGCCTATAATGGCTTTAGGTCTGCTTATAATGGGGAGCCAATATAAGGACTAAATGTATGGGGACCCAGAAATTAAAATTAAATTAAATAAATTAAAATTAAATAAATAAACGAAAACAGAGATTAAAAAAAAGTATATAATAATAAAAAAAAATATGGATAATAAAGAATTCAATTTAGGTTTATTTAGGTTATACAGCCCAATATCACAAGTCACAATTTGTTTGAGATGGCTTTACAGCACACCCTTTGTTGTGTGAAGACCATATGAATATAGATAAATATTTAAATAAACACACAGTTTAAAATCATCAGCCACGACATTTACACTCAGTATTTTATCCTGCATATTTCATTGCTGGGCAATTTTACTTACTTGCAGCAGTTTTTATTTTAAATCGTCCCTTTCCCAAACTCTGTTTTTATTGCACAATACCATTTCCCCTTTGTTATTATTTCATTTCCTAATTCTATTTTCATCTTCGTCTCTCATTCAAGAGAAACAGGACAGTTGTGTTGGCTGTTCCTTTGGTCTACATGAGCTGACAACCAATCACAGATCTGTCCAAGAAACAAAACTTACCTCTGTTTCGAATGAATTTCCAAAATCTCCAGAGACTCTTCTAAGCATCAGGTTGGAAACATTCCTTCCTCTTCCACAATAAGAAATATTTTAGTTTATTAAAGATATCTGTGGTATTGACACCAGTGCCCAGTTCTTCAACACCTGTCAGTTAATGGCAGAAGTGAATGTACAGTGTACAACAGTGTACCAGCTGTTACTAATGACATTAATGAAGTGTCCCAGTGACAGTGTGACAGTGTGCACAACACCAGGACCCTAAAACCAAAGCAGCTAAACGAACTTCAGCCATAATTAATGTCATTATTATCAACTGTGATTTTCTAACTGTGACATGCCAAAATATCTGAAAGTGTGTGTTATACACTCACCAGCCACTTTATTAGGTACACCTGTTCAACTGCTTGTCTTTTAAGGCATGTGGACATGGTCAAGACAACCTGCTGAAGTTCAAACCGAGCATCAGAATGGGGAAAAAGGTGATTTAAGTGGCATGGTTGTTGGTGCCAGACGATCTACTGGGATTTTCACGCACAACCATCTCTAGGGTTTACAGAGGATGGTCCCAAAAAGAGAAAATATCCAGTGAGCAGCAGTTCTCTGGGTGAAAATGCCTTGTTGATGCCAGAGGTCAGAGGAGAATGGCCAGACTGGTTCAAGATGATAGAAAGGCAACAGTAACTCAAATAACCCCTGGTTACAGCCAAGGTCTGCAGAAGACCATCTCTGAACAAACAACACGTCCAACCTTGAAGCAGATGGGCTACAGCAGCAGAAGACCACACCAGGTGCCACTCCTGTCAGCTAACAACAGGAAACTGAGGCTACAGTTCACACAGGCTCACCAAAACTGGACAACAGATGTCACAAGTGTGATTGTACCCAAATGCAGCACTCAGAGAGGCAGGCAGACAGTTGGCAATGACCTTTATTGCTTACACAGATATGCAACTACTTAAAAGGGCAGGTGGGTTTCTGGTGAGGCTGGTAGTTGAATAAAGACCGATGTAGCTAGGACCGACGAATCAGGAGGAACAATCTGGCACTGAGGGAAAGGCAGCAGCTTATATGCAGGGAGTGCTGATGAGAAGCAGCTGTGTGCACAGGTAAGTGGAGTTGGCTTGATGAGGGGGGCGTGGCTGGAAGGCAGGGTGCAGGTGAATGGAAATGTACCGGGAGCAGGAGAGAGAGAGAGAGAGAGAGAGAGAGAGAGAGAAGGATGATTGGAAAAACGTTGCCTAGTCTGATGAGTCTTGATTTCTGCTGCCACGTTCAGATGGTAGGGTCAGAATTTGGTGTAAACAACATGAAAGCATGGATCCATCCTGCCTTGTATCAGTGGTTCAGGCTGGTGGTGGTGGTGTAATGGTGTGTGGGATATTTTCTTGGCACACTTTGGTCCCCTTAGTACCAACTGAGCATGGTTTAAACACCACAGCCTACCTGAGTATTGTTGCTGACCGTGTCCATCCCTTTATGACCACAGTGTACCCATCTTCTGATGGCTACTTCCAGCAGGATAACGCACCATGTCACAAAGCTCAGATCATCTCAAACTGGTTTCTTGAACATGACAATGAGTTCACTGTACTCCAATGGCCTCCACAGTCGACAGATCTCAATCCAATAGAGCACCTTTGGGATGTGGTGGAACAGGAGATTCACATCATGGATGTGCAGCCGACAAATCTGCAGCAGCTGTGTGATGCTATCACATCAATATGGACCAAAATCTATGAGGAATGTTTCCAGCACCTTGTTGAATCTATGACACGAAGAATTACGGCAACTCTGAAAGCAAACGGAGTCCAACCTGGTACTAGTAAGGTGTACCTAATAAAGTGGCTGGTGAGTGTATTTTCTCTCTGCCTAGTCAGCAGATTATTTTATCCAACTTCAGTCCTGTGGATAGTTAATTTTGTCTATGGACCCATACATGTCATCGCTAACGTGTATGTACGTGTTAAACTTTAGCTGTACAATATGTCCCAGTGCTCCCCTATCAGGTTAATGCAGATAAGATGTGCAGACATGTTCATTCTTACAATCAGGGACCTTCAAAGCAGCTGACAAAAGCATGAGTCTGAGGAGTGACTCCTGTCTGACACTTTCAGCACTATGCAAGACTAAAAAAATGAGCTTTTCAAAACACACACATATTATTGTAAGATCTGATGTCAGTGAATGAAGGAGATTTCCACCGGCCCACATTCTTCCGCTGGGATGAGCCAGTGAATCAGTGTGATTCAGTGACTCACAATTTCAGTCAGTCATTCTGATGACACAACTGAATCTCTGTGCTGCTGTCTTTACTGTCTTTCATTCATCACACAGATCTTCACTGTTTAATGCCTAATCTGAATACTGTGTGTGGGGATGCGAAGTGTGTGTTCATGAGGGGGGAAGGGGCAGCATTTGTATTTGTGTGTGCCCTGAATGGCCTGCATTCATGTAGTTTTCCTCTATTTACTGCAGGGCTATCATATCACAATACACTTCATTGTGGGTCAGTGGGTTAAAGTATAAGGAACAGTGGAGTGACACTGAAGTGTGCCAGTAAAAAAACACAGTGGTGACTTTGTGTTGAGGGCCGATGTCTGCAGGAGGGGTGATTTTATCTCTTATTTATTTTCTAGGCTATCGATGTATTTATTGTTACAGTAAAAGACAGAGAGTGGAACTATCATGGTTCAAAATGAACAGTGGCAGTGGGGATTCCTGAGACAATTGCCTGTCTCCTCACTGGCCTCCCGTGGCGAAAACAATTAGAGGTCGATATTTCTGTCTTCAAGAGGCTGTGGCACACTCATTTTACCTACCAAGGAAGTGGTATCTTGTTGAACTAGACAACCTAAAGCATCCACTGGTACCAACCATGTTGGCACAGCTTGTTCAGAAGTGGGTTAAATAGCGCTCCAATTGGCCATTTTCAAAGGAGTCCTTTTAGACATTCACGCCATGATATCTGAATGAAAATGGGTTCAATGGGCACCCATGAGTCTCCCCTAAACTTGAGTGGGCTGACATTAACTGTAAAAATGATAAACCTAAGTCAGTGGTTCCAAACTGGTCCAGCCAGGGGGGCCAGATTTGTCCTTAGTTATTACTTCAAGGTCTACAAAGTTTAATATATTCAACATAATCCTTGCATTTGGCCGTGTTGGGCTACTTTGCTGTCTCTGTAAAGTAGCTGTCAGTTATTCACTCACTGTACAGCATGAAACAGCACCTCAAGATAAAAGCTTGTGCTGGAAATTCACTGTCTCATCCACTTTTGGACCACTGACCCATCAGTTGGGAACCACTGACCTAAGTGTATCAGCATGTAATTCCCTAACTGTCCATATTGACAGTCTTCAACTAGCCAGTACACTCTTGAAAGTCAGTTACAGCTTTTGCTTTTGGTGTGCCACCCTCCAAGATTTTATGCAGCGCCATTTGATCACTCCCATGAAAACGTTCTGGGGGCGCCACTTGAGACGAAGAGGTAACAGGTTGATTCAAGCCATACATCTTTGGATGTCACGTTGTTTCAAAACATAAGATAAGGAAACTCTATCTAACGAAAGAAAGAAGAGAAACATCTTTATTAGATGGCCTCTACTATACTACTCTACTATAATGATAACCTGTCATTCTGAAACTTGTGAGAAATACCAAGAGTCCAAGGTGATGTTGCAATTTGCTTGTCTACTCAGACTGAAACCAAGAGTTTTTCAGTTTTTGGTCATTTAACACAAAGCAGCCAATCTGAGCATTTAAGAAGCTGGAACAACTTTTCTTTTCTCATTATTTTGCTTAGAAACTTTTATAATTAACTAAACAAATTATCAAAATTGTTGCTGATCCATTTTCTGTTGATTGTCTGATTGATTGACACAATATTATTCTGGTTATGAAGGTGTTTTGGGGCAGTTAATTCTCCAGGTTACCCACGTGCAGTTTGTAAAAAACACACCTTGTTTTGAAGTACAGTGAATTTACGGCACATAATTTCTATTTTGAAGTACCGTTTCCTGTTTTAGAGTGAGCGACTAACAGACAGCCATTTGACAGAGACAGCAAACCAGCTCAACAACATGGCCAAACACATGTATGATGCTGAATTTATTAAACAATGTGGACCTTGAACTGATGACTACCGAGAAATCTTGGCTGGACCACTTAGTAACCTCTGTTCTGAGTATCCAGGATATGGATAACCTGGTTTCAGAATCCCAGATAACAGCCCTCAACCCAGTTTTCAGAAACCCAAATAGGTTACCAGTGCTATTGTATGGCATGTATACTTTGACACCTGATCTATGTTTCTGTTATGTTGAGTTACCCAGCAAATAAAATCATTTAAATAAGTCACCAGTTAAAGAAAGAACAGGCACAAACTGGCACCAGTGAACTGATTTAATTACAAAGAGGAA